TAACACGTTTAATCTCATCCAATTTCCAGATCAACCGTCAAAAGCCTTTTTATAGCCATGTTAATGTGTGTTTGTTAGGAATGTCATGGCACTGAAGCATGTAGATTGGTCTTTTAGCGTCAAAAACATTAGCTTTAATTTATTTACAGTCACTCACTACGCGAACTAGTGCACCCGAAGCCTCAGGACGGAAGTGCATTAGCTAGCCTAACTGTTCTTGGAGAATTTGGAAATCAATGGCTTTTTAATGTTATATTTCCTGGAACTGGACTAATCATTAAGGAATGGAGCAGCAAATCCAGGGCCATTGCACCACAGTTTGTTATATGTAGGCTATTAGGTGACTTGTGCTATCATGAGTTGTGTTTACTATAGGCCCAAGAATACCAGTCGTAAATGCAGACCAGTTGTTTCTACGTTTTGCTGTAAAACAAGACCAACCATGAAACACTAAAAACTGTAGGCTATTGTACTTTGTTTTTATGTACAAAATATAGTTGGTCATTTGACAAAAGACTCCCAAAAAACAGTGATGTCACCAGTATTGAAATGCGAACCAGTAATTTCTACAGCAGGGTTCCCCAACTGGCAGCCCGCGGTCCGGATTTGGGCCGCGGGTGATTTTATTTGGCACATCAAGTTTTCTGAGCAAAATGTTTTATTTTATATATATAGAGAGAGATTTTTTTTATTGTTGGACATAAGACTGTAAAAACACAGTCAAATCAGCTCCAAGTGATTTTCATTTTGGAAATCTGTTCCCAAGTATTCCCTTGCATAATAGACAGATACATATGATCGTGTACAAATGTAAGCAAGGTTTGAAATGATTATGTTTTAGTCAAATATTATATCTTTGGGCTTCTTGTGGTCAATTTGCAGTCTACAAATTATTTTCTGGCCCCCTGACCATCCGCTCAGGAAATAAATTGTCCAGCGGCTGAATCTAGTTGATCATCCCTGTTCTAGTGTCTTGTATTAAAACATGAACCACCCTGAAACACTATCAATATGGTCTTAAAATGTATGTTTTTGTGTGTGTGTTGAAATAAAGTTGGCCATTTTAAACCTATGTGCTCCATCTATGGAGTGTTTGTTCTTCCACTGACCACTGTACTGTCGGTCAACTGTAGGCCAAATGCACTGCTATCCTAATTTGTGCGGACCCCCTTCTTGGGGTGTAGGGTGAAGTTGCCCCTAGATACTGATCTTGGGTCAGTTTTGTATTTCCCCCATTAATGATTAAGGTTAGGATTGGGGGAGAGGGAGTGGATCCTAGATCTGTTCCTAGGGGAAACTTCACCCCGGAGCTTTCCTTGGTCTTAATCAATGGTTTTGGACTACCATTTTAGGAAATGAACAATGCTACATCTTTCCACCAGGTGGCCTCAGCATCTCACAAACCTCTACAAAGGCAACACCCCAAGGTTGTCCCATCACTGTGATTGAGGGTGCACACTAGGGCTGGGGTGCGTTAAGCAGGACGCAAAATAGATAGAAATAGGCTATGTAGAACCAACATGCCTCTCTGAAATGTAGAATAAGGAATCACATCAGCTCTATTCATGGCATTTCTATCTGCAACATTAAAAGCATATTTGTCATTCATCCCATTGTGTGTGTGTTTAACAGGAAGTCCAAACTTGTAAGAAAGAGACCGAAAGCAGCTCTTTCACGATAATAAAAAATATCGTTTTTACTAAAGAAGGTTACAAAAATCATCACTATACAGGAGTCATATAACTATTTAAAACGTTTAAAAGAAAAACAACTACAGGGACTACAATGTCATCAAGGTACAATGGATATCTTTTTAAAAAAGAGAGTTGAGTGGGGGCAAACACTGCCTACCATAGTTGTCAGTACAATTGACTACACATCACCTGAAAAACTGCAAAGACACAGTCATGTCGCCTTCATGCAATAACGAGGAAACGACAACACACCCTGACTGAAACGCATCTTCTTATATGAAACGGAACATACGCTTGCCTACATCAACCTGGCAGCAAAGCACACTGTATTATATCAAACATAACACACATGGGAATATAGTACTTTTTTCAGTATTTAGACGTTTCCACACGTGGACAATACCGACATGCCTTTTCATATGAAAGTTAAAAGAATCATTGTTTCACTGGTTTGAGGAAGATAACTCAGGAGCTTGGGACTATAAGGTTCTATCTGCAAAAAGATGATTCTGAGATAACTGGCTAAAGTTTGAGCCCTCATTGGTTTGAATGGTGTCAGCTATTTTTATATTGTATTCTTTTTAACTTAACATGAATTGGGGTATTTAGAGTATACTGTATGTAGGTAGAGAACATTGAACAGAACAAGGCTATGTCAATAACTCAATTTAGACTAAAATGCAGATAGAACCTTATAGTCCCAAGCGTTTGAACTACTCAGTGATCATTATTATCGAATAGGTCATTATAATCAAATAACTGAAAACAAATATATATATATATATAAATTCCTGACTTGTTAACTCTTTATATTGTAAACATCCAAACAATATCTGTTCATATAACAGGCCTAAAAATATGACAGATGAGTCACTTTTATTTGCCTTGCCATTGTAAAATAATCGCAAATAATGTCAAAGACAAGTTATTATTCATTACTTTAGCACAGGGAAAGATTCAGCTGCCTAAAACTGATAAAAACATTGAAAACATTTTGTATTTTTTCTTCTTCACATTTCTAAATGTATACAATACAAGCATCGTAACTCTGTATTTGCTTACAGTTTCAAAGATGTTACATTACTATTATATCAAATGCAGAACTAGTCATTGGATGCTAAACATATACTCCAAAGGAAACATTTACATATTGGTAATCAAAGGTAAAATAGCATGTTAAAACATTTGACCGTGCTCTCCACATTCAGGAGGTGTCATTCAATAGAACTTTCTTTGGGGGCGGTCCATATATTTACAGGTGAACTTCACCCCTTTAAGGGTGGACTTGTCTTGAGGAAAGTGAATGTATGATCCCAAAAACCGGGAGGAGAAAGACATCCACCCTTCACGGTTGTGTACGATGAACACAATGAACAAGCATTGAACTTTTGTTATGTTCGCTTCAGCTGTGACCTTGCCTTGTAACAAGTGTGTGCTTAATCAGTGAAGTGTTAGCCTGGTCCCAGATCTATTTGTGCTGTCTAGCCTCCTATGGTCATTATCATGCCGAACATAGGAGCTATATAGCACAAACAGATCTGGGACCAGGCTAGAGGAGTCTTTATTTTGGTTTCGTACCTGAGGTATGTATAATGTATCACTTACAAACAGAACAAGGCAATCTGACATTGAGTGTTGGTTTGTCCTGTGGGTTTAGAAGTAAGGCTGTTTCCAGAGGAAACCTGCCATACAGAGGGCTAGGTGGAGGTTCACTAGCCTGGTCCCAGATCAGTTTGTGCTGTCTTGCCAATTCCTATGGTCATAATAACACGACAATGACCATAGGAGTTGGCAAGACAGCACAAACAGATCTGGGACCAGGCTAGAGGTTCACCTGCAGGTCAAAGAAATGCGTTAGCACTGCAGACAGCTGCTGACAGAACTGCCGCTTTGGGCCAACAGTCACATTACTGAATGTGTCCAATCCGGTTAGGGTACAGCACACGTTTTTCTCCTCAGGCCAAAATGAAGAATTACTCAACAGAAATTGCTGGCTGTCAATAAAGGAATCGGAAAGTTAACATAATAGTAGGAATATTTTCTATGAGAGGCACCCTGAGATGCTTTGTATGTAATGTATACATGGGGTTTTGTAATTCTACTTTAGTTTTTTATATTTTTAAATAGTGCAACATATCATGCATTACCATAAAAAAAAAGCAAAAAACGAAATCAGGTAAAACAGGGTTGCGATAAGATAACCAAAGGAGAGAAATACCAGAGATAAGAGAAGACCAGATAAATACAATAATAGCAAACCTGTCATACTTTGAAGTAGTATAAAAAAAAAACATTCATACATACACATTCACACAATATATTCATATTCATATATATAAAACACCAAAAAACAGAGGACATTTTGTGGCACGCTTCCTCAGGAGTTGTGCAGACAGTGACCTTGTTGTTAGGCGGTTATTAGGAGCTGTGTTAGTGCTGTGCTGTGATTGGCTCAGAGCAGTTAGGCTATGGCAGCAGGGTTGCGCTCAGTAACGGTCCAATCGAGAGCAAACGTTCGCAAACAGGAAGAGGTACCACCCAACCTGAGCTCATCCAATAGGAACTTCTCATATACCTGTTCCGTTTGAAAACGTTTTCTCCCTTTTGGACAAAGGACCTGATTCAGAGTTGAGAAAAGTGTTCGCAACTCAGACTTTCGCTTAAATTGTCCATTGATGTCAATGGAAGACATGGGCTGCATTTACACAGGCAGTCCAATTCTGACATTTTCTTCACTAATTGGTCTTTTGACCAATCAGATCAGCTCTGAAAAATACTTGATGTAAAAAGATATGATAAGATTGGTCAAAAGACCAAGGCTTGTGTAAACGTAGCCAAAGTGTGAAAATTTGAGTTGAGTGCACATATCTCATGTCAGAACACCGCCCATAGTGAAGGAGACCCAGGTGTTGGTTTTACTCAGAATGGGGTTGGAGGTTAGGAAGTGTGTGAGGGGTGGTTGGCCGGTTCTTATGAGTAAGAGGAGTTGAGACCCTCCTTGGAGCCACCCTCCTCCACATCGTCGTCCTTTGTCTTAATGTCCTGGTACTCGTTCTGGTTGCAGGAGCTCCTCAGGTAGGCCCAGTTCGCCGACAGGATCATCAGATAGTGGATCTGTGGAGAGAGAGAGAGAGAGGGCGCAGAGAGGAGGGAGGGAGGGAGGGAGGGAGGGAGGGAGGGAGGGAGGGAGGGAGGGAGGGAGGGAGGGAGGGAGGGAGGGAAAGGAAAGTGCATAGGGTGGTGGCCAGTGAGAGGGTTAGTTAGCCAAAGCAAGCTACATGAGTAAAAGCTACACATCATGTTGACCAGTCTACCAGATGTCAAACAAGACACATTAGCATTGCTACTGTACAATGTCAGTATTTGTTGGTTAGGTTGGCTAGGTTAGTATTAGTCAATTACAGAAAACTAAGTCAGTGGGAATTCATTTTCTCCAAACAGTCACTCTATCCTAAAAGGAGAGGACAATGGTCTTGGTTTTCCTTCACATGTTATGTTTATTTTGCATAAACTAAAAAGGCACAACGTCTTTCATAACAAATATCACAAAAAGAGCCTAAACAGGCTAAAATATACTAACTTCAAGCTAGACAGTTGGCACTTGGGGGAAAGATATTAAAGTCTCATTGAAAAGAAAACTATATCCTTCGATTAGAATAACTACAGAATATTGTATTCATCTGAAGCTAGACACATCAACACAAATATTCCCTTCTTCTTACACTTGCGCTGTCCCTTTGTATTGATAATCTATCCATCCTTAATGCTATGTGCCTGCTCTACTTGAATGAACTGATAGCCTTGACTAGCGGTCCCTCAAGGAACTGTACCCCTACTGTATTGGATCAGTACTTTTGTGAGGGACCTCAGCCATGTTCGCTAATCATGCACTCACTAGTCCCTCAATGTGGTTTAAAGGCATGTGTGGCAATAGGGCTGGAAGCAAAGGCACATACTGTAGATCTATCTGTATTGTGTTAACAGTAGTGTACATTTCTCTATATGCTACAGTACATACTCTCCTCCCCACCCTCTCTGTCTTTCTTTCTGTTCATCTTTCTTTCTTCCTTGAACTATCTTTCTTTTTCACTTTCTATAATTTCTCTCTCTTCTCTCTCTCTCTAATATGGCTCTGAGAACTTTGTGGAGCGGCGGTTGCCGTGGCTCATGAACTTGAGAACAGCATAGTTATACGTGGTGGCCATCATGTAGATCAGCTGGGAGGGAGAGATGAGAAGACAGTCTGAGAAACAAAGTCAATGACCAGGAGGCCTTTGGGAGGCCAGTGCTGTTCTTGGGTGGCATCTGGCTAGATTGTGCAGTACTGTACCTTCATATTGCTTCACATTGCATATATCTACATCTATAAAGAAAGTTAGATTGCTACAGCGCACACAATTTCAAATGGCCGTCTATGTGCTGAATCTAAACGTCACTTCTCGCACCCACTGATGAGCAATCCAAGTTTGGTAGAGTAGCTGAAAGGCCTTGAGCAAGGCCTCATGACCCCATTACTGAGTTCAACTGAGTTAAACTAGCCATCACATAATGACAACCACACTGATTGGATAAAACCACTTCATTATTTGAAAAAAATGATGTACAAATCATTAGCTCCACCTACAGTGGGGAAAAAAAGTATTTAGTCAGCCACCAATTGTGCAAGTTCTCCCACTTAAAAAGATGAGAGAGGCCTGTAATTTTCATCATAGGTACACGTCAGCTATGACAGACAAATTGAGATTTTTTTTTCCAGAAAATCACATTGTAGGATTTTTTATGAATTTACTTGCAAATTATGGTGGAAAATAAGTATTTGGTCACCTACAAACAAGCAAGATTTCTGGCTCTCACAGACCTGTAACTTCTTCTTTAAGAGGCTCCTCTGTCCTCCACTCGTTACCTGTATTAATGGCACCTGTTTGAACTTGTTATCAGTATAAAAGACACCTGTCCACAACCTCAAACAGTCACACTCCAAACTCCACTATGGCCAAGACCAAAGAGCTGTCAAAGGACACCAGAAACAAAATTGTAGACCTGCACCAGGCTGGGAAGACTGAATCTGCAATAGGTAAGCAGCTTGGTTTGAAGAAATCAACTGTGGGAGCAATTATTAGGAAATGGAAGACATAAAAGACCACTGATAATCTCCCTCGATCTGGGGCTTCACGCAAGATCTCACCCCGTGGGGTCAAAATGATCACAAGAACAGTGAGCAAAAATCCCAGAACCACACGGGGGGGACCTAGTGAATGACCTGCAGAGAGCTGGGACCAAAGTAACAAAGCCTACCATCAGTAACACACTACGCCGCCAGGGACTCAAATCCTGCAGTGCCAGACGTGTCCCCCTGCTTAAGCCAGTACATGTCCAGGCCCGTCTGAAGTTTGCTAGAGTGCATTTGGATGATCCAGAAGAGGATTGGGAGAATGTCATATGGTCAGATGAAACCAAAATAGAACTTTTTGGTAAAAACTCAACTCGTCGTGTTTGGAGGACAAAGAATGCTGAGTTGCATCCAAAGAACACCATACCTACTGTGAAGCATGGGGGTGGAAACATGCTTTGGGGCTGTTTTTCTGCAAAGGGACCAGGACGACTGATCCGTGTAAAGGAAAGAATGAATGGGGCCATGTATCGTGAGATTTTATGTGAAAACCTCCTTCCATCAGCAAGGGCATTGAAGATGAAACGTGGCTGGGTCTTTCAGCATGACAATGATCCCAAACACCCCCCCCCGGGCAACGAAGGAGTGGCTTCGTAAGAAGCATTTCAAGGTCCTGGAGTGGCCTAGCCAGTCTCCAGATCTCAACCCCATAGAAAATCTTTGGAGGGAGTTGAAAGTCTGTGTTGCCCAGCGACAGCCCCAAAACATCACTGCTCTAGAGGAGATCTGCATGTAGGAATGGGCCAAAATACCAGCAACAGTGTGTGAAAACCTTGTGAAGACTTACAGAAAACGTTTGACCTGTGTCATTGCCAACAAAGGGTATATAACAAAGTATTGAGAAACGTTTGTTATTGACCAAATACTTATTTTCCACCATAATTTGCAAATAAATTCATTCAAAATCCTACAATGTGATTTTCTGGAAAATTTTTTTTTCTCATTTTGTCTGTCATAGTTGACGTGTACCTATGATGAATATTACAGGCCTCTCTCATCTTTTTAAGTGGGAGAACTTGCACAATTGGTGGCTGACTCAATACTTTTTCCCCCCACTGTATGATGACATACAGGTCTAATTCTATCATCTCTGGTGCAAAATACCATATGGTCAGAGTCTTGTGAGGCATTGCTCTCCATTGGCCACAAAGCAAATGTGTGTTAGCCAGGAGCTCTTTCCTATGGCCCATGTCAGTGTGTGTCCAGCCAGAAGCTATAGAGCAGACTTACGCCCTCAGGAAAACTGAGTCAGAACCATGAAGCGTGGGGGAGGGATTACCATGGCAACAGATCAGCGTGCCATGGCAACTCATGCAAATGATGCAAACATGGGGAATTCGGGATATAGGGCATCCAAAGCTTACCAATGCAATGAGGGTGGCGCCTGCTCCAGCACACGCAACAATGTACAGGTGAAAAGATAGGTAGAACTGGAAAACATGGAGACAGATCTCTGGTTAGTGATGATACTTTCTTTGATTGACATTCATAAAATATGTCTTTCCCACAATCAGCCTCTGTATAATTACAGTACAGTGATGAAGAATCTACAGCACGTGTTATATTTTTGCATTATTTCAACTTACGCTTTTGACAAATGTATAAAACGTATTTTTTGGTGAATAGGAAGGTTTATATGATATTCCTATTATATGAGGTTCATGACGGTTAATATGGCCGTCATATGATGTACAGAAAGCTTTACAGAAGGAGGAAGGGTTGCCGTTCTCACCTCACTCGTGCTACAAATGTCTCCTAGTGTAGATCCACAGGCTTTGCCAGGTGTCGCATTCCATGGAATAATACCTAGACAATCAGGAACAAGAGATATCGGTTAGGACCAAACTGTAGCTTTAAGACAGGCCCTATTCAGTGCAGAGTGGTCAATCACTTCACTTGTACAGCATTTGTCGTAAATATCACTTGAGTTGACCTAATGCGATAGTAAATGTTCACGCATCCTCTCATTCTGATGTATATCTGTTTATACCATCTGCCATTAAAGAGGACAGATGATGATGATGATGATGATGATGATGCACTGCTTGAGGGTGATGGTAATGTTGCACGGATATGGTTGACATACCATACATTCCTCTAGTCATAAACATGATATAGATGTCGATGCAGTAAATGACTTAAACACCCTATAGATATTTAAAGGCTGTGTTATCAGCATCCATAACACAGGCATAATGTTAATAAGATACAGCCTACCACTGCCAAGTGGACGTACATCACACTCCTTGCATTAGGCCCTTATGCAGGGCTATATCCTGATATGACTCATCAATATATGGCTCATACATGGACGTGTTCTGCCGGATGCTATAGGCAGAATGGCCGTCATATGAATATGGGTCCTATTCCTAAACTCATGAACCAGGTTGACATGTAATCACACGGATCAGTGTGTGTGTTACTGAGTGACACTCACCGTACTGCCTGACGTCCACACAGATGGAGTCAGGATCAGTGATGTTGGCCATGGGGGACTTCAGGGCAGCACAGGTAGTCCACATGTTGTAGAAGAGGAAGACGGGGATGGATGAGAAGCCGAAGATCCCCAGGAAGGCCAGGCCCAGGATATAGGTAAGGAACACAAACTGATGAAGAGAGAGAGGTGTTAGTGACATCATCATCATCATCATTATTGTCGTCATCATCATTATCGTCGTCATCATCATCATCATCATAATCATCGTCATCATCATCATCATCATCATCATCATCATCGTCAACCTTGTCATTGAAATCTACTGCTACTGCTATACCTAACATAACACTCTACTATGTATAATTCTCCATTATTGCATTCATAGCCTTTACCATCACCTAATGACAGAGGATATTTATAACCAAGCTCGTCCTCATCTTCATCACCATATCGGCATCCACATTTTCCTGATACAAAAGTTTCATCCATTGTTAGCTTGACGACACTCAGGAGAATACAACCGTCCTCATAGCAGCCTTCCAGGCCTTAGAGGCTGACGTTACTGGACATCTGCAGCGATTACACTGATCAGCCTAGAGAGGACAAACTGTGCCAGAGTTACCCTCTGGGACAGTACGCCTAAATGCATGAGTGTGTACAGCCGTATGTGTGTGAACGTCACAGACGCAATGTGTGCGGTTGTACGTGTGAGCATGTAAGCATGCCCTTGAATGTGTGTGTGTATGTATTCATGAGTTCAATATTTTTATGTATGTGTGTGTGTGTGTTTAAGCATATTTGACCGTATTTGTGTGTGTGACCATATTGGCGGGTGTGTGTATTCATGTCTCACCGTGGCTGTGATGCAGCGGCCGCACACGGTGGTCTTGAACTGGCTCTGCAGCTCCTTCTTGACGGCGCTGGTGGTGTAGAAGCCCTCAGCCAGCAGGATGATCCCATAAACAAAGAAGAAGGAGGCGATGCCATAGATGATGTACTGCATGGTCTGGATCCTGCTCGGACAGATACAGTCAAGATAGGAATGAATGTGAAGGTAGGCACATTCATATTGAATACCTTTATAAACTGTAAAGGTTGACATATAGGTAAAGACATATAGGAGATACAACAGAGAAAATGAGTTATCTTTCTCTCACACACACACACACACACTACTTACACGATGGTGAGGGTGGCGTGATCAGTGGTGATCCGGGAGAAGTGGTTCTCCAGCATGGTCAGTGTGCCGGTCAGCGCCACGTGACCACACCCGCAGAACAGAGCCACGCCCGAGAAACAGAGGATGGTGGCCACCAGTGAGGCATAGGGCACTCCGCCCAGACACTTGATGCAGCATTCAAAGCAACCTGCGGGGGGAGACAGAGAGCACCTTGCTAAGAAGGAGCAAAGAACTACACAGTGGGTCAATTATATTTTTTCGAGCGACATTAGCCTATAACTCGGCCTCTTGCTACATTAGAATGTAGGCATACATTGGAACTGTACTATGTATGTTTTCGTCCTGGAGAGCAACCGTCACTGCTTAATTATTCATGAATTAGCGAATTCATAAATACTAAACGTGATCATTTCTGACTGAGAAAGGGATTCACTGTATGCTGTAGCCTGAAACCCTTGAGGATTAGCATTCTTGCTAACCTGTGTTGCGTAAACAATGATTTGACAGATACAACCGAGTCACATTTACAGTAAAGTTGACAGATACAGTAGTCACATTCTCTCCAAACAAAAGCCACAACATTATCTTCATCCATCTCAACCTTATCTGAACCGTTTTCACTTCATCATTGCAACTTTCCCAGTTAGAATTGACACACTCAAGCACCCAGGAGTGTTAAATATTACATGTGTTCCATCTTCCTCTCTACTTCCCCTAAAAAAAGTTCCCTCTCCTTTGTCTTCATAGAGAAACATACACAAAGCCCTTTTAACCAATGGCATGAATAATGCACGTCTAATTCTAAACACACTACCAGTCAAAAGTTTGGACAAACCTACTCATTCAAGGGTTTTTCTTTATTTGTACAATTTTTTACATTGTAGAATAATAGTGAAGACATCAAAACTATGAAATAACATATGGAATCATGTAGTAAACAAAGAAGTGTTAAACAACTCAAAAATATATTTTAAATTTGAGATTGTTCAAATAGCCACCCTTTGCCTTGATGACAGCTTTGCACACTCTTGGCATTCTCTCAACCAGCTTCACCTGGAATGCTTTTACAGTCTTACATTTTAGTCATTTAGCAGATGCTCTTATCCAGAGCGATTTACAGGAGCAATTGGAGTTAAGTGCCTTGCTCAAGGGCACATCGACAGATTTTTCACCTAGTCGGCTTGGGGATTAGAACCAGCAACCTTTCGGTTACTGGCACAACGCTCTTAACCACTAAGCTACCTGCCGCCCCGTCTTGAAGCAGTTCCCTCATATGTTGAGCACTTGTTGACTGCTTTTCCTTCACTCTGCGGTCCGACTCATCCCAAACCATCTCAATTGGGTTGAGGTCGGGGGATTGTGGAGGCCAGGTCATCTGATGCAGCACTCCATCACTCTCCTTCTTTTTTTTTTTTTTTTTTGTTTGTTTATTTTTCGGGGGGAATGGATCAGCTTAATATTGCAGATATATTGTATCTTCTATCAATGTAATTGTCTGCATCACTTCCAATCCCCCATGTTTTTATTTATTTTTATATATATATACTCCCCTTTATTACTTTTCAACCCCACCATCCTTTCCCTACTTGGAGTAAATTAGTGAACAACAATGCCCAGGCCTCTACTTCCGGTCTATACTTACTATCTCTCCATCACTCTCCTTCTTGGTAAAATAGCCCTTACACAGCCTGGAGGTGTGTTGGTTAATTGTACTGTTGTAAAACAAATGATAGTCCCACTAAGCCCAAACCAGATGGGATGGCGTATTGCTGCAGAATGCTGTGGTAGCCATGCTGGTTAAGTGTGCCTTGAATTCTAAATAAATCACAGACGGTGTCACCAGCAAAGCCCCCCCACACCATAATACCTCCTCCCTCATGCTTTATGGTGGGAAATACACATGCAGAGATAATCCGTTCACCCACACCGTGTCTCACAAAGACACGGCAGTTGGAACCAAAAATCTCCAATTTGGACTCCAGACCAAAGGACACATTTCCACCGGTCTAATGTCTATTGCTCGTGTTTCTTGGCCCAAGCAGGTCTCTTCTTATTATTGGTGTCCTTTAGTAATGGTTTCTTTGCAGCAATTCGACCATGAAGGCCTGATTCACACAGTCCCCTCTGAACAGTTAATGTTGAGATGTGTCTGTTACTTGAACTCTGTGAAGCATTTATTTGGGCTGCAATTTCAGAGGCTGGTAACTCTAATGAACTTATCCTCTGCAGCAGAGGTAACTCTGGGTCTTCCATTCCTGTGGCGGTCCTCATGAAAGCCAGTTTCATCATAGCGCTTGATGGTTTTTGCGACTGCACTTGAAGAAACGTTCAAAGTTCTTGAAATGTTCCGTATTGATTAACCTTCATGTCAAAGTAATGATGGACTGTCGTTTCTCTTTGCTTATTTGAGCTGTTCTTGTCATAATATGGACTTGGTCTTTTACCAAATAGGGCTATCTTCTGTATACCCCCACTACCTTGTCACAACACAACTGATTGGCTCAAACGCATTAAGAAGGAAAAAATTTCCACAAATTAACTTTTAAGAAGGCACACCTGTTAATTGAAATGCATTCCAGGTGACTTCCTCATAAAGCTGGTTGAGAGAATGCCAAGCGTGTGCAAAGCTGTCATCAAGGCAAAGGGTGGCTATTTGAAGAATCTCAAATATAAAATATATTTTGATTTGTTTAACACTTTTTTGGTTCATGTGTTATTTCATAGTTTTGATGTCTTCACTATTATTCTACAATGTAAAAAATTTTTAAAATTAAAGAAAAACCCTGGACTGAGTAGGTGTGTCCAAACTTTTGACTGGTACTGTAAATGATTGCTACTTATTGTCAGAGCAGTGGTTTATAGGCCACAGGCACCAAACGGAAGAAAACAGACTGAAACAGGGAGGGACTACCTGGACTTGTTTTCATTTTCAGCATGTTTTCGTTTTCCGTTGCAACGCGTTTTGCTACAGTGTGTCCTAATGAATATGACCCTGATGTGTGGAACTGCTGTTAGTTAAAATCCTCCCCAGCACACAGTGGTCAGATCTCCTATTGGATGTTCATAGAACGTATACAGAATCAATGCTAACCAGTGCTAGCACCACGAGATGCTAGCGTTGACCTTTGACTTCATGCATTGCTAGACTAGATCCCTGACCAGTCCTCTGTGCACAGCCCCCAGTCATACCATCTAATGGACACTGCTAGTTCAACACAGGCAGGATGAGAGAGTTATGAGGGGTATGCTATATTAAATAATACTGTGTCATATGGTGAGTCAATGGTACCCTGATATTTTGCTTTGCCTATGGCAGCTACAAAACTCCCCAAAACTCTGACTTCTATTCTATTTGTTTTGTTTCAAGACCATTAAATCTGACGTTGCCTTGACAGTGCACCGTGACAAGCTTGTAAAGAGTTATGGGCAGGGTTGTAATGAGCGACCATTGTGGAAGGCAGTGGAGCGGGTTTGGCAGTGCTATGGTTGCTGGTTCCTTAGAGAAGGAGGCAACAGCAGTGTTGTTAAGAGGGAAAAAGAGAGAAAGAACACATTGCATTGAACACAAGTGTTGAGGCTTATGTAACTGCCCGTTATAAATAGCTCCGCATTGCAAATGTGGGACGTTACTCTGGGAAGATATTGCATTCCCTTGCATGTGCCACTTTGCTGTTTCCATGACAACCCGCTCCAATTGGCATCTCTCACACTTCGTAATTACAGACCGGCAAATTTCTTCTTCAGGAGTGTTATGGCTCTTTCTTTTACAGTTATTTCTCCAAATAAACAAATCCATTCTGATTTAATGTTTTCCATTTTGGAAGCTGTAGCTATTAATTTTTTTCAATTGACAAGGCTGAAATGAATGTCGGAACAGACCCCGACCAAAAAGAAGAGGCCTATAGGCTATTCCGTTTCTATAGTGACGGGTGACAGAGTTGACTGTTAATGACATCCACATGCCAACATCAATGGCATCCCATAATATCAGCCAAAGCATTTAGTCACCCTCATTAGTGTTGCTTCTAACTGACGATTCACATGACTATGGACTTCAACATCAACTGGATATCAACAGTTTGCTACAGGCATTGAAATAGAGTGCTACAGAATCTTGTCTGCATGCTAGTTCTAATAGTAATACTTCCATACAGCACTAAGATTGGCTTATCCAGAAAACACAAAGGGTTAAACCTAAGCAGCAACTGCTGCTGAGCGAGAAGCTGAGACTCCAGGATGAGGCGTTGGTTGGTTGCATAAGAGCACGGAGACCGAGCGAGCATTGCATAATGGATCTCTATCCCATTAATGTTAATGAAATACCAAGGCAAGGCATGGATGTGGTGGGGCACTAACTACTCTAACTCCTACCATCTCAGCAGAAAACCAGGCTAAATGACGGAACGCCAAATGGGTTGGTCGATATGGGACAACTAGGTCTGGTTCCCTTGACTTGTGCCCCTAGTCAAAAGGACAAATGGAATGGTCCACTTCCATCTGAACAGACAACCATCCTGACAGAGCTCAAAAGGGATTGGTCGAAATGGGACAAACAGGTCGGGCCCCCTGAGTCTTGTGCCCCCTTGTCAAATGGAATGGTCCACTACTACTCCACTTCCTGCCTTAAACTAGGGGCCTCATCCGGTGCTAGGCTGCCTATGGCGATGCCAGATGAGCTGAGCGTTTATCATCACAGTTAAAGTGCACTAATGGGAAACAGACAGGCATGAGCGGACGGCCGCGGCGGACTAGAACGGAAATCGATGGGCTATTCATTGGAGGAGAATTTAGGTGACAGAGCGAGGTCTAGTCCATCTTTCTCACTCTGCCCTGCTCTCTCTGGGGTGAAATATGAGAACTACAATTACAGGGCCCCAGTACAGCTATAGACAGAGGGCTCAGACCAGACACAAGGCTATATGTCTATGTGCCCAGTACAGCTATAGACAGAGGGCTCAGACCAGATACAAAGCTATATGTCTATGTGCCCAGTACAGCTATAGACAGAGGGCTCAGACCAGACACAAAGCTATATGTCTATGTGCCCAGTACAGCTATAGACAGAGGGCTCAGACCAGACACAAGGCTATGTCTAGTTCTCCACTTTCAATGATTCCCATGTTGTTTGGGTGGAATCTGACACTAGAATACAACCAACCTTAAACCCATTCAGATAGACAGAGTATGAAAAACCTACTATGGGTATATTTACGATTATAAACTGGGTGGTTTGCAGCATGAATGCTGATTGGCTGACAGCCGTGGTACACCACGGGTATGACAAAACATGTATTTTTACTGCTGTAATTATGTTAGGAACCAGTTTATAATAACAATAAGGCACCTCGGGGGTTTGTGGTATATGGTCAATATACCACGGCTAAGGGCTGTATCCAGGCACTCTGTTGCGTCGTGCATAAGAACAGCCCTTGCCAATATACCACATCCCCTCGGGCCTTATTACTTAAGTATAGCCTTTGCGTTTAGTGAAGTATGGAAGCCTATGAGGCTCAGTTGGAGAATTACAGTGGCAAAAGAGGAAACTGTCTTTCATTTGTGGCCTATTTTTCTACCAGCAGTGAGAGAATAGCTTCACGGGCCTCCAAAGGCTCTCTCACAAACCCCTTTCGGTACAGTGGTTCTGCTGTCAAGAAGTTCATCCCACTGTCTTTTGATGCCAGAGAGAGAGAGAGAAAGAGAGTAAGAGAGAGGGGGGAGATGGAGAGCAGGAGAACGATTGAGTGAGATAGACAGAAAATCAGAGAGGAAGCGAATGGGGCAGAGAGAGAGAGAAAGCAAGATGAAGAGAGAGATAGACAGAGAGAGAGAGAGGAAGCAAATGGGAGATATAGAGAGAGAGCATGTGAGATTAAGTGAGAACGAGAGAGAGTAAGCAAAGAGTATTTTTTGGCCCGGGGGCCAGTGAATAGTGGTTGCCATGGCAGCATGTTACCCACGACCCAGTTGAGCGGAGCCTGTAGCTAGCTGACTACGCCACTCCACGGCTCCTCACTTCCCTTCCCACGCGTACACAGCAGAAGGGCGTGAACTCCCCTCGGGGGTCAGAGCAGAGGGTTCAGGGATGGGGACATGACTCTGAACCTCAACCTGAGCATGGTCTGAACGAGGTTCAAGCAAAGTGAGGCTGAACAGGTATACAGTAGAGGTAAATGTGGGTGGTCCAAAAGTGGTCTGAGCACTCTGTCAGCCGGTCCCAATTCTCTCTCTACGCCTTCCCTTTGGCCCTAGACATTTAGTGTTTGCAGATCTGTAAAATGGAAGCAATATAGTGGAAGCTCCACCACCACAGTGCTTGTACCTATCCAGACCCTTCAGATGTGTAAACATCAAAGGAGAAGGGGTAAGGCTGTGTGACTACGCCTACATCCAATATTATTTCGTTTTCAGTCAGGTGATTGGTTTTGGTTTTATCCCATTTGGAAAATGGGCCATCCCCAGCCAGAGGAAAAGCCACTTTAACGTTCATACATTGAGGGGTAAAAAACTAAAGCCCTGCAAAAGGACACACATCTATTTAAAATAGCTACTGTACTTGATACATTTCCAAAGGGATTTTCCCGCTCCAAATTATGAGTAATATTACGACACATTACAAAATATTACGAAACATTATGATGAAATGTTACAGTGACACAGCTTAAAGCTAATGTACAACCTATTTGTCAACTCTACATTGACTAGTTTTAGCGTCAAATAAAGTCGCTTATAATGACTAGCCTTGTGAACATTTCACCGGTAGTCTGTTCTCTTGCCTCGGGCTAATCCAGTTTAGAAGCTCTGTATTCATTTTAGGATAATTTATTCTTCCTCTTGCATTGCATTGTAGGAAGATTCCCAACAGAGCTGTGTGGATCACCAATGAGAGACACATCTCCTCTCCACAGCAGGAAAAAAAAGATGGCTGCTTCAATGAGGCGTTGATGAAAGAGAAACCCCATCTGTTTAAAAAGTGAATAGGCTTGGGGGGTGAAACACAGGCACACGACATACAAATACTTTCAGCGTGTTCTGATATTTTACGCTACACTATGTTTTTTCATGTGACAGTATGTTATATCCTTATTCTACAACTGCCAAGCACAACGATATGGACCAAATAAATATTGTGAAATCTAACTGTTTTAACGACACGACAACATGTTTCGGACTATTACTGTCGGATATCAAAGGACGGTAGAGTTAGAGGATCACGTGACATGTGACCTTCATCAAACTTATCTGCCATACCCAGAGAACCTTTCCCCCTGACCCTAATCTGGTCTACATTCTATAGCCAAGTCCTTACCCTGGTCCAGCATTAATATGAAGGACACCGGGCAACAAGGTCAGCATCTGCCCACGCATAATTGAGTGTAATGAAGTGTACCGCTTTTAAATACCCCCTTAGCACTCGTCTACTACACTCCTATAATTTCATCAATACTTTATCCCAGCAGTGATCCCTAACCCTGTGCACTTACTGTAGCCTAAGCTCTTTAGCTGCCTGCCTGCCTGCCTGCCTGACTGCCTGCCTGTCTCCCCGCCTGCCTGCCTCCCTGTCTCCTTGCCTGCCTGCCTGCCTGTCTCCCTGCCTGCCTCCCTACCCCCATCAGCCAGTGTACAGGTATGGGAAATCTGGGATAAACCTAGCCAGCTGTGCAGGGGACTCCCATCATACACCTATGCACACATTAATATACACTCATACACATATGCACACAGAGAACTAGCTCTATGCAGTCAGGCACATGTACATGACATACAGTGTACATCATGTACAATATACACAGCTAGCACATTTGGTTCCTTGGAAGTTGTGGGAACCTACATTTTTGGTTTCCCATTGGTTCTGGGAACGAAGCCATACGTTTCCTGACCGGTAAAACTGAGAACATTCAGCCTATTCTGGGAACATACATTTTTACATTGCAGGGAGGTTCTGAGAACGTTTTACTATGGTTACCTGAAAGTTTTCCATTAATCATGCAAACACATGTATATTTTATTATGGCACGGCATCAGTGAGATTTGAACCTATGATCTTCTATTCTCTATCCATGGAATTAGTCCACTGCGCCACCAAGACAGAGCTAGTATGCCATGTGATTTTTTAAAACTCAAAGCTGTTAATTTTAGTCTATTCAAACAGACCCCATTTCAAAAGAAACAAGCACTCATTAAGATCAGATGCGGCCAACACACCTGAAAATACTTAACAAGACAGAGGATAGAGAGAGTTTGTTGACGCTGAGAATAGAATGTACATATTTTTTTTAATATTCTTAGAATGTTCTTTGAATGTTTTCTTGTGGTTTTTATGGAAAGTTTTCTTAATGTTCTGAGAACATGGCTTTAAATGGAACCATGAGGATGCCTGCAGAAAACGTTACGCTAAAGTACTAAAATTCCCACTAAAAAACACTTATTTCCCTCATTAAAATGCAAATCAATTTATAACATTTTTGACATGCGTTTTTCTGGGGTTTTTTGTTGTTATTCTGTCTCTCACTGTTCAAATAAACCTACCATTAAAATTATAGACTGATCATGTCTTTGTCAGTGGGTAAACGTACAAAATCAGCAGGGGATCAAATACTTTTTTCCCTCACTGTATGTGCTAGCTGGGTATCCTGCACCATTCTATGGTTCTAAGAATGTTATGTGAAGTTGGAGAGTCACGTACACATACAAACACAAAACTACACATAGCCTAAGCAGCTAAACACACACACACACACACACACACACACACACAAGCTTCGAGACAAGCAACACTGAACCATGCATGAGAGCACTAGCTGTTCCGGACAACTGTGTGATCACGCTCTCCATAGCCGATATGAGTAAGACCTTTAAATAGGTTAACATTCACAAGGCCGCAGGGCCAGACGGATTGGAGCAAGTGTCTTCACTGATATTTCAACCTCTGCCTGACCCAGTCTGTTATACCCACATGTTTCAAGCAAACCACCATAGTCCCCATGCTCAAGAACGCCAAGTTAACCTGTCTAAATGACTATCGCCCCTTAGCACTCACAGTTGTAGCCATGAAATGCTTTGAAAGGCTGGTCATGGCTCACATTAATACCATCATCCCAGACACCCTGGACCCACTCCAATTCGCATACCGCCCCAACAGATCCACAGATGACGCAATCTCTATTGCACTCCAGACTGCCCTCTCCCACTTGGACAAAAATAACACCTACGTGAGAACGCTGTTCATTGATTACAGCTTAACGCTCAACACCATAGTGCACTTCAAGCTCATCACTAAGACAAGGACCCTGGGATTAAACACCCCCCTCTGCAATTGGATACTGTACTTTCTGACGGGCCGCCCCCAGGTGGTGAGGGTAGGCAACAACACATCCGCCATGCTGACCCTCAACACAGGGGCCCTGCAGGGGTGCGTGCTTAGCCCCCTCCTGTACTCCCTGTTCACCCACGACTGCATGGTCGCACATGACTCCAACACCATCATTCAGTTTGCTGATGACACGACGGTGGTAGACCTGATCACCAATGACAATGAGACAGCCTACAGGGAGGAGGTCAGAGACCTGGCAGTGTGGTGCCAGGACAACAACCTTTCCCTTAACGTCAGCAAGACAAAGGAGCTGATCGTGGACTACAGGAAACGGAGGGCCGAGCACACAAACCTACATGTACAGTGAGGGAAAAAAGTATTTGATCCCCTGCTGATTTTGTACGTTTGCCCACTGACAAAGACATGATCAGTCTATAATTTTAATGGTAGGTTTATTTGAACAGTGAGAGACAGAATAACAACAAAAAAATCCAGAAAAACGCATGTCAAAAATGTTATGAATTGATTTGCATTTTAATGAGGGAAATAAGTATTTGACCCCTCTGCAAAACATGACTTAGTACTTGGTGGCAAAACCCTTGTTGGCAATCACAGAGATCAGACGTTTCTTGTAGTTGGCCACCAGGTTTGCACACATCTCAGGAGGGATTTTGTCCCACTCCTCTTTGCAGATCTTCTCCAAGTCATTAAGGTTTCGAGGCTGACGTTTGGCAACTCGAACCTTCAGCTCCCTCCACAGATTTTCTATGGGATTAAGGTCTGGAGACTGGCTAGGCCACTCCAGAACCTTAATGTGCTTCTTCTTGAGCCACTCCTTTGTTGCCTTGGCCGTGTGTTTTGGGTCATTGTCATGCTGGAATACCCATCCACGACCCATTTTCAATGCCCTGGCTGAGGGAAGGAGGTTCTCATCCAAGATTTGACGGTACATGGCCCCGTCCATCGTCCCTTTGATGCGGTGAAGTTGTCCTGTCCCCTTAGCAGAAAAACACCCCCAAAGCATAATGTTTCCACCTCCATGTTTGATGGTGAGGATGGTGTTCTTGGGGTCATAGGCAGCATTCCTCCTCCTCCAAACACGGCGAGTTGAGTTGATGCCAAAGAGCTCGATTTTGGTCTCATCTGACCACAACACTTTCACCCAGTTCTCCTCTGAATCATTCAGATGTTCATTGGCAAACTTCAGACGGGCCTGTATATGTGCTTTCTTGAGCAGGGGGACCTTGCGGGCGCTGCAGGATTTCAGTCCTTCACGGCATAGTGTGTTACCAATTGTTTTCTTGGTGACTATGGTCCCAGCTGCCTTGAGATCATTGGACAAGATCCTCCCATGTAGTTCTGGGCTGATTCCTCAACGTTCTCATGATCATTGCAACTCCACGAGGTGAGATCTTGCATGGAGCCCCAGGCCGAGGGAGATTGACAGTTATTTTGTGTTTCTTCCATTTGCGAATAATCGCACCAACTGTTGTCACCTTCTCACCAAGCTGCTTGGCGATGGTCTTGTAGCCCATTCCAGCCTTGTGTAGGTCTACAATCTTGTCCCTGACATCCTTGGAGAGCTCTTTGGTCTTGGCCATGGTGGAGAGTTTGGAATCTGATTGATTGATTGCTTCTGTGGACAGGTGTCTTTTATACAGGTAACAAGCTGAGATTAGGAGCACTCCCTTTAAGAGTGTGCTCCTAATCTCAGCTCGTTACCTGTATAAAAGACACATGGGAGCCAGAAATCTTTCTGATTGAGAGGGGGTCAAATACTTATTTCCCTCATTAAAATGCAAATCAATAAATAACATTTTTGACATGCGTTTTTCTGGATCTTTTTGTTGTTATTCTGTCTCTCACTGTTCAAATAAACCTACCATTAAAATTATAGACTGATCATTTCTTTGTCAGTGGGCAAACGTACAAAATCAGCAGGGGATCAAATACTTTTTTCCCTCACTGTACATACTGTATTACCTCAATCAAGTTCCAAGTTTTAATGTCACATGCACAAGTACAGTGAAATGCCTTTCTTGCAAACTTAATCAAATCACCCCAACTACCTCGTACCCCAGTACACTAACTCGGTACCGGTACTCCTTGTATATTGCCTGTATATAGTATAGCGTTGTTATTGTTATTTATTGTGTTACTATTTTATTTTCTATATTTTTGTATCTATTACTTTTTATCTATAAATGTTCATACTTTTTAACTGCATTGTTGGGAAAGGGCTCGTAAGTAAGCATTTCACGGTAAAGTCTACACTTGTTGTATTCGACACATGTGACAAATAAAATGCGATTCTATTATTATTTTTTTACACACACACACACGAACACTGAGCAAATTACACTCAAACTCGATGAAAGCATAGTATCATTCCTATGGTGAAACCAGAGGGGTGAGAGTGTGGTCTACCCTTGCCCTCAATCCTCAAGGTAAAGATGATGGTCCTCTGCTCTGAGACATTACATGAATGTACGGCTCAGAGGGCTCAGTGCATTGTTTGCAGCTGTGTCGCATTAATTCACCAAAATGTAAGTCTGAGCCTCCAGCCAAAGGGTCTGGTACAGTCTGAACCGGGGTGGCAATGGGATGGCTGTGGGCTTATGTAACAGACTTAGCTAATGCCCTTTCCCATGCCCCTGTCATGTGATTATGGCCATTCACGTGGTCAAAAGAAGCATTTCCATTTCCACCAATGTCCTCCTCAGGTCAGAGTGAGTGGAGGGAGGTTTTCATACCTCACTGGTAAGGATGGACACTGGCTCTATGTGAAGTCCAGTCCATTTCTTACAGATGCCAATAGAATCAAAGATGGACTCCACAGAAGAGATGGGACAGGGGGCTCTCTAGCCATTCTTAGTGGTGGTTAATTCAACATGATGTTATATTGAGAAGATAGACAGATACAAGTGAATCAGAGTCATGAGAGAATGGTTTTACTAACAGCTAGGGAATAACACATAGTATCATGCAGCCCATTTCCATAGAATATAT